ATGTAGACTTACTTGTCTGGTCTATCARGGTTTGAGCYTGTTCTTCCATCCATTTTTGATAATAAAATTTCACRTTTTCTTTGTGTTTTCTACCATTGTTGTGTGTCTTTCTGACTGATGGCTGAATAAAACAAACYGAATTACTCTCCAATAATGATCAGTGTATGGAAATATTTCATAACATTCGTTTGAGAATGATCAATTGAAAAATTATTCAATTCAGATTGTTTTAATACATGTAGCTTCTCCTAATAAGAAAATCAGTTTTTGGACAATCCAATTTACATAATAATCAAGTGACAAACGACATTGCTTAAACAAGTAAAGTAAAATCATTTCTACTCCAATTCTATAAAAAAAGACAAACGTACTCTTTACTTACCGAGTCATGTGTTAGATAGGTGTCACAGTAATCACAATAATATCTACAGAAAATACACAAAAAGTCCGTTAAAAATGAAACGATCTCCTAGATGAATACTTGACCTATCTTAATATACAAAAACCTAAACAACAAATCCAAAAAGAAACACCTAAAAAGCATAAAAATATRACTTACTTGGGCATTTTTATACTAAAGTTTTTGAARAGAAGTCCACGCTTGCGCAGATGTCGTCTGCGCATGTATTACACAGGAAGTCCATAACTAAATTTAAATCATATTTTTTAGTAATTTTGATATAATTATTCTTAACACATTAGAAAAGATTTACAAGAGKCGAATACATAGTCGTTTTGGATGTTTTATTTAGATTTGGTGGAAAACTGTACAATGAATTTCGCTAAATGATGAAAAATCTTTTGGGTTCCCTGTGTAAATGATTGAGTAAATCAGCTGTGTTATTACCGCAGGCTCAACCATTGCGCAATAAGGTCTCTTCGAAACAAAATGGCGATGTTAGCAGATAGAAAAGTCAAGCAAAAATGGAGCCAAGACCCAAGAAACAAAACATGGAGTACAGGTAAGTTCTTCCAACCTTTTYATTAATACATAATGTATCTATTAGTTAAAAAGACGCGCATAAAATTGTTATTTTTACTAGTTTTAGATGAATAATAAAAAGTCCACGTGGTTTGTGTTTGACCGGCTGAATGATGAAAAATATTAGATGAAATAAATCTTCCTTGAAGTAGAATTTCCTCGTTAAAATTGTCTTAACAGTTTCTTATTTCTGACAACTAATATGAAAGGTCCTAAATCGCAACACAATTTCTTTCTGAGGGGGAGGGGGAGAGTACAACAATTCAGTGACTTTCCTTGTAATAAACACACTGTTTTTCTAGACACAGATCGCTTTGGCTACCAGATGCTGACCAAGATGGGGTGGACTAATGGAAAGGGTCTTGGAGCAAGTGAGAGCGGATCAACATCTCATGTAAAAATATCTCTCAAAAATGATAACTTGGGTATGTTTTTGTGAGAATGTTTGTAGTATTTACAGCTGACTCAGTGAAATGTTAATTTTTATTGTCTGTCATAGAAATAATCCCAAATGTATCTGGGAATCTTTGCAACGATTTTCTAATATCAAATTTGTTATTATTGATTTTGAACCAATCAGAAACCAACTTTCAAAAAGAGGTTAATAATATTTGTAATGGTTCTTACTAAATAGGCCTTAAATATCAAGTTAGAAAGAGTTGCATGTACAATGTATGTACTCTTTTTATGTGATTTTGAACTTTGAACGATCATTGAAGTACCCTCCATATCCTTGACCTGGAACCAATATTTTTGAATATCAATTATATGCTTTCTTAAATGGATTAGGTGTTGGAGCCAAAGTTTCTCACGATGATAATTGGCTGGCCCATCAAGATGACTTTAACGACCTGCTAGCTCATTTAAACAATGAAAATAATACTGGTAGGTTTATGAAATGTGAACAAATATGTAGAAGCAATAAAATAAAAGTTATTAATCTTCTTATCTTTAAGGTAACTCAAGTGAAGATCAGTCTTCAAAAAATGACATGGAATCAATTGCAAGAAAGTCAAAGAAAAGAGTCTTGTATGTGGTAGATAGAAAATAAGAAGCCAAAGTGAATCTGATTTATGTTGGTCTGCCTGTGTCGCATCTGTTGGTCTGCCTGTGTCGCATCTGGAAACATTATGACTGTATACTATGTTGGCTAGCCAAAAATTAACTGCATAATTCAGATGAAGTTTTGTCACATACATATTAAACTCAAATTCAGGGAATAGCAAAAACAAAAGAGGAAGGTTGTTGGAGAAGGGTATAAAACATGTTCACTCAATACCACATCATTTCAACCTTCCCTTTCAATCTCTGCTTTCTTTGACAGTGAAAAGACTGCTTAAAAAAAGAAAGTTAAAAACTTTCCAAGTTTCTTTTGAACATGATAACTAACTATTACATTATTTTGATTTGTTTTAGTTATGAACGATTTATTAAAAGCAAGAACACGTCCAGTTATTCTGCTACAGACATGGCTTGCATCTTAGGACAACGAAGCAAGTCTGCTCCTGATAGTCCTGTAGATCATTCAGAGGTAATGGACCTTCTCCARTCGCAGGATAACGTAATTTAATTATTTTACTTAAATATGTTACTRAAAGAGTACATTGAGAAGATTTTGATGATCATGAATTCAAACGTTCTATTTTTCTCCAAAGGACGAAGATTCAGACGACAGTTGTGCTTCTTGTCCAGCTTCGCAAACAACCAATTCACTTGGCCTTACGATAATTAACAGCTCGCAAAGTGTGCAGGAATACTTTGCCATGAAAATGGCTGAACTCAAGAAAAAGAGACAACAAAGTCAAACAAATGAAGAAAGAACGCAAGAAAAWTCCCCTGAAGAAAAGCAAGATGAATTAAACTGTAATTTGGAATCTAATGTTCAAAGAGATAAAACAAAGAAGAAAAGAAAGCAAAAAAGCGAGGAAAGCAGCAAGAAAAAGAAGAATACARAAGGAAATTTAGACGAAAGCTCTCAGAAAGGAGAGCAATGCAAGGATAGCGAAAATGATAAGAAAAAGAGGAAGGGCAAGAAAAGGGATCGGGAAGAGAACGAAGAAGTACAAGAAGAAGTTGTRGAAAAAAAGAGAAAAAAGAAATCGAAGGAGGACTACAGTGATAACTTAGAAGAAAGCACTATTTCTAAGAAAGGAAAGAAAAAAGATAAGAAAAAAGTGAAAAAGGAACAAAATGAAACTGATAATACATCAATAACAGATGTTTCTGAGAAACGAAGTTCCAAAAAAGCGAAAAAAAGCAAAAGTGAAGCGATGGAAATCGAGGAAACCAGTAAAAGCAAAGACGACAAGAAATCGAAGAAAATGAAGAAACAGGCTTCAAATTTGAAGTATTGTGAAGATGGACAATCGACTGAAAGCAAGAAAAAATCAAAAACGAAGAAGAAGTCAAAGAAAGTATAAACTCTCACACCAAATCGTCACAATTTACTATAAATTTTTATTTCTGTTTTCTCTGGAGAATACTACATTTTATAGCGATATTCAAAGTATATATTGTATATTTTAAAACGCCTTGAAATAATGAATGAAATATAATCATTGCTGCGATAGAAAACTTGTTTCGTTCAAAAATGTTTTTCACTTCGAAAGTCATAATTGCATTTCAATCTTAGCTTTGGGGCGCGAACGAGTGAGAGATTTTCAACATGAGAAGATAAAATTCGTATCTCCAAGCGACCATGTAATATTCTGTTTAYCATATAATTACATATGATAGCAAATTATGTCGTAAAAAAAAACTTTTTTCTTACTTCCACTATATAGAGAAAGCTCGAATGGGTTATTTTCACTATAGTGGAAGTATCAAATTTTACGAAATGGAGAAATATAGGTATTTCGTAGATAATTATATGATAAAGTGTTAGAACCTTTTCGAAGCAATACCCACAAAAAAAAAACGTCCCAAATTGGACGGTATACCTTTATTACCAAGCAAGCTTTGTTCTTACAAGAGATCGGCAATTCTTCGTTTAATTCACATACGTCACACCGGCCATCTTGGAGAAACTTCAACAAAGGATTTCTCATTAGTATCTATTGTTCATTCCTCCAACATGGCCGCCGGCCTTTTATCTTTTAAATCTCATGGGAATCGTTGGAAACGATCAATTTTGAAGTTCAAGAACGTCAGTATGCGATCCGTATAGCTATTCTACACCATTACATAAATCGTTCGCAATGACTTCAATTCTGTTTGTTTTGAAAACACTGGAGATCGCCCTGAGGCGTAACTATCGTGGCAGGGACATTTCTGTTTATCTCTTTAMTGCAACGATCTTTTCAAAGACTTTAAGCAAGTCTCCCTTATAATTTCACGGGTTTGATGTCTTCTTTCTTAATATTGAACGTGAACGTGTTCGATTTCGAGAAAGCTTTCAGTAAGTCCTTGTTCATTAATAGTTTAGCAGTTCTGCACGAAATTCTAAATAACTGTCCTTTCCACCTCACAAAACAACGAGGAGTTTTAAAGAGATTATTTAAGCAAAATTCGTAGAAAAAAATGGAAAATATAAAGATCCCAGTTGAAAACCTTGGTGAGTCGGGGCAACGCCAGTATTCGATAACTATGTATTGAACTTTGTTTTTGTTTGTTAGATTCGTTGATTGGTTATACATGCTCTAGTACAATATCACGTTTAGTATAAAAAGATTTAAATCTATCAATGATATTGATTTTTTCATTCCAGTTTAATTCGTGTGCACGAATTGTTGAAACGGGTKCTCGTGTCACGGAACTCGAAATTGTGATTTTTACAATGAGAGTGTTGATTTTACTATTGTTTGCGACAGAAATCTTCGCTAAAAGAGCAGGTAAGATGATATAATCCGCAAAAATTGATTTTTTGCTGTGGAAAAGCTTGATTTTAGCACATTGGAAAAGTTCAATTTTCGATCTGAAACGTCATCGTACTTCTTCTGTTAGAATAGGCGTTCACAGTGGATCCCCTTACGAGACGCGTTTCTCGTATGGATCTGGAATAGTACGAAAAGTGAAAGTCAAATCTTTCTTTAACTCACTATTAGGTAAATTTAGTAAATGCATTAGTAAATGCAGGTTTTATTATTTTGCATTTCGCCACATGGCAAAGCCCATTACGTTGACCCTCCCTACTCGAAAATTGAAAGACTGCAAAATGCACGGTGATTGGCTGACCGTTGACCAMGTTTTGGTCCCACCTGTCTTCAAAGTCCCATTCTGTACTACAGCTTGCTATTTTAGTGGTGTTTTTGTTTTGTTAGATTCGTTCTTGATCGTATTTTAGTCTAGAATAACACTTCTCAGTCTATATCTACATTTTTACTTCAGCTGCATTTGTTTTAATTCGCTTTGCCTGCGGTCATTACAAGACTTTGTAGCCTTCGCAATGTTGTTTTTCATTCTCCTTATCGCTTGTGTAGCAAAAGGTTCCGCAAAAAGAGCAGGTACGAGCTGAAAACGTCTACAATCTGTTAAGAATTTGAACTGAAAGAGAGTTATCTTATATATATTTATAGCGAACTTGGCAGAGTCTGTTAGTGTGGCACTATGAAGTCTATGAAAACTT